TACTTAAACATCTTTAACTTCATTTAATGTTTAACAAGTTTCCACAAATAAGTTAAGAGTGTGACAAAACGTGGAAAATTACCAGATTTTCCAATCAATGAAACTGCAGCATTTACGATGTTTTTTGTTAACAAGACATGCAAACAATTGATAGATTTTGATAAGAATTGCAAACCAACTGTGCAAATACTTTTAAATATAGTAAAAAAAATAATATACTCAGTTTTCATTGTTTTAGTGTACATACATATATATGTACGTATGTATAGCACAGTTGTGAGCCAAAAAAATACGGAACCAATTATTTGTATTATCAATAGTATTATATATTGAGAAATTTTTAAAAGTCTTACTTCTTTTATTGTATATATTTTATATAACGTAATAAGTTAAACAAAGTATCATCAACAAAAAAATTATCAAATATCAACGATAACAATTATAACCATGCTAAATGCCGGTCAATGTTTAAGATTTTTCAAAAGCAAATTTTGTGTACGCCAAAACGAGACACAACTAATTTCCATAGGAGTTTAGAGAAGTAGTGAAATACCAAGCTGTTCCCCCTAGCCATAAACCAGAAGTGTTGTATGCTTTTGTGCAATAACTCGTTTGGGTTTTATGTTAAAAATATACATTTTTATGAAAGAGAGGAGTTAATATAACATACATACGTAGGTTAAATAAGTTTCAAATAAAACTATTTTTTGGTTAATTTTTATTTAAATTGATAGGAGTTGACAATTTTAACCGAAACTCTTGTGTACGTGTGATCGTTTATCCCTTTCTTACGCAAAGGCCTTATGAGTTGCACATTGTGTATGTGTTAGTTTCCATGCTAATTCGTTTAATGTGTTGGAGTTTCGTTTGTGAGCGCGCATTGCAATATGTACAAATAAACCAACAATGTCGTTAAACGACAACAGCACTTTTTTATTGCCAACACCTACATCGGAATCACAAAGGCAGGAACTCATCAATCAAAATTTTGTCAATTCTCCCATGCCACCATCAATATTTTGTGCGAAGACCCAATACATGAATCCCTCTAAAAAAAAAACAAATGTAAAAGAGCCCTACAAGAACAGTGACAGTCCTCTGACCGGTAAGTTGACCGTCAGAGTTGAAGAAATTTGGTCAGCGCTCAGAACAAAGCTTCTATCATTTTCTTAATGGTCTTGTGCAAAAATTTATGTAAACAAACATATATGTGTGATTTTGCATCTCCCTTTATCAGATAGGTATTCAGAATTGATTCACTATATACCTATACTGCTTACTCTCGCGCCTTTCTCTGAGTCATTGCTGACCAAAAATCCATCAAATCAGAAAATTGTCCATAATGACTTCTTTAAAAAGTTAAACACTTTTAATTAAAACTAGTTGTAGTTATATTAATATACGAGTACTCCCTGTGTCTCTTTTCAACAACACTGACGGTCAGCAGACAAGTAAACTGTATGTCATGACTGACATGAAAAATGTGCCTGTAATGGTTCTGGTAGGGAGCGTTATGCTACATATGTATGTGCATAGATATATGTGTATTTCATAACGAAAAAGGCAAAAACAATCAATTTATGAATGGCAAATATGCCACATGCCGCTGCATATACACGTGTATGAGTTTTGCTATGTTCAAGTATGTATGTGAAATTATTCGTATGCGTATTAGTACATAAACAAATCGGCTGCCATTTGAGAAAAATTCCCATATGGGGTTTCGCTGGGATTGGCACATAAGCCTAATTTAGTGTCACCGGTCATGGTGTTTTGACTGGATGTAGGCCATTTGAAGCGTTGTAGATCACTGCTGTCATTAATTGTCAATATTTCATGCTCCTTGTGTTAAAAATAGCAACTCTTGGCTACAGCAAATAAGAGCAGCCTAGCTCCCTCAGCACATTTTAGTGTGGCACTCATTTATGTGTATGAAATTTTCCTTACCGCTGAGATAATTCAGTTAATGGTAGATAAAAGGGGATTTCCAAAATTTTAGAAGTCTTAATTACTTACGTGCATGTATATTAGGGTGTCCGTCATTTCCCAAGTTAATTTTTTTCGCAAACGCCCGCTAAAAATTTTAGTTTTGCGCTAAAGAAAAAAAAAGGGTTTCGCTTTTTTGATATTTTGCGTTAGCCATGTAAATCTACAATTTTGAAGAAGTGATATTCTATTACAATATGTCCCAGTGATGGCATGCATATACTTGTATAGCTCGCAAAACGCGAATTCTGAAATTGAAGGACTTTGCAATAGCTAATCTTACGTGAGGCTCAGCCGTTCAAACCCAAAACCACAAGTGGACAGCGAAACTCGCACGCGTTACTACCTAGGCCTTTCTTGCAAGTGTACCAATCTGACAATTCTTAGCTGGTCTACTATGTTAAAGCAACTACATAAGTTTCCTCGCAATTGACATTGAGGTTAAGCACTCCTTATACAGTTGCCACACGTTGAGAGTGCTCGGTGAATCAGGCATCGCTGCCTCACGAGGCATCGCTACTCTACTATTGAAGTGATTAAACATACCGCCTAAACCAGATCGTTTTTCTTCCCTTTGATTCTTGACTTCTTGCCTTCCATCATTAAATGCTGTCTAATATCGCGGCCTTAATACAAGAGGGCCTTCTCAAACCATGGCACAATAGTATAAAGAGCAGTATCCGCACACATCCATCTGCCTTTGCTATAGACATGTTGATCCGTATATAACGTTCACTTGGCCTGCCCTTTATGTTTAGTTCAATCGACCCCTCCAATATTTTCTACTCGTGAATTATATAAGAATTTAGCTGAGATAAACCAACACAATATCCGAGGAAGGAATAGTTTCTGTTGATATTACTATTTAGCTAAAAGTTTCCTTTCATTGTATTATGAATTTTCAGCTGCGTCAAGTTGGTCTATAAATTCTAATAAGTAAGTATGTATGCACTTGTATATAGAAAACAACAAAAATTCATAGCAGCTCGTTTGTAAACAAAAAACTTAGGTGGATTTGAAATTTAACGTCAATATATATTCTAATGAAATCCAACACGGCGGGGTAGATTACGAATAATAATAAATAAGAACAAAAACATTGATTGGTATAAATATCAGATTTTAAGGTAAAATCTACTTATTATTAAGGTAACCGGAAACACAAACACAAGTGTATCAAAATGATCACTTAATTTATTAGCAATATATCTTTTGTAGATGGTCTGGGTCACCACCAGGCAAACTAAACGCTCGGCTGTTTAATGTATTGTATAATACGCAATGTGGGTTATTGTTTTGTGACATCTCCAACTTCTTCTTCTTTCACTTCTAATTAACATATATGAATTTTATTTATTTTATTAGTAAGAATAGAAACTAAATTCTATAAATTCGCGCATAGAAGTACTACGCCTGCGACATACGTTTTATTCATTAGCCTCCCACTCGGCCCGCAGAGGTGTATTTTCGGCATGAAAAGGCTTCTGCAAAAAGCCATTAGCCGTTCCGATGTGCGAAAAACTTAAGCGACCTTGAATAAATATATCTTACGGTCAAATTCCGTTACCGATTGTTAGAAAGCAGAGTTTAAATCAGCTGCCGAAAGCCGAAGCCGCTCAACAATATCTTTTAACTATTTGTCTGTTTTTATAAAGGGTGTTTTTTTAGAGGTATTGAACTTTAAGTTGGCATTACTGTTCTGTTTGGTTGCCATAATATTTTGTTAAAATTAATCAAAATTACGAGTATTTTATGGACAAATTCATTCAAAAGAAACTATCTGCAAGCGTAAAGTACCTAAAATCATAAATTTTGTACACAGTGGGCGTAAAAACATTATTATGGTACAAATTTTATAATCAAGTCATTATTGTAACGAAATTCAAAAGGCGTAAAGAATTTAATAGCATATGCAGCTTTTTGGAGTGTGTGCGTTCGCTGTCATCATGGGCGATAGCGAATCTTTAACCAATTACAGTAGCAATTTTGACAGCCCCGTTATTAATGTCGCAGATGCCATAAAACAGGAATTGCTCTCTGATGAAGCGTTAAAGTATACGAAGAGAAATGACGAAATGCTTGCTGACAGCACAGTAATTAAAAACTCGCCGCAGTATTGGCGATTTTCGTTAGTCTGGGGCGACAGGGCGTATGCGTAACATTGCATTATCAATGTACATCACGACCGAGCTCGAGATGGGAAAGGTTAATTGTGCGTGAAAATTGAAAGTTAAGCGCATAGAGTCACTGATGAATATTTCCATTATTGGTTTGTGTTGCGAAATGCGCACAAATTAAAGGTTTTAATAATAAATTTAACAAAATACGCTTGCATAAGTTTACAAACACGCATATGAATGTGTGGTGGATAATCGAAAATGTCACTTTGCGACGGTAGATCAATATTTTGATGTCATTACTTCTATGTGACATCGATTTAATCGCTCAGAGATAATTCAAAATGAAATTATAAAAAAACGAACAGAAGCTGGTGTTAATTGCTTTTACTACTTTTTAAGACTCTTCTTTCAGCTCATTTGACCGCCCACTCGTTACAACAAAACCAAATTAATTTGTTGTGCGCACCCGCACTACTGTTTATGTCACCTATACGTTATTACCGTTATTTCGCCACAAAACGCATTCTTCTTATTCGTTTCTACTATCAAGCTATTAAAAAATATCCGTGCACAGTTTTTCAAATTGGAATTCCACTGCGTTGGGCCACTGTTGCATGCAACAGTCTGCTGTAGTTACCAATTCATAACCCAAGCATGTTGGTTAATGAATGTTAGTGAACAGGATGGTTTGAATGTACGCATGCTCATGGCAAAAGCCGCGGCAAGACAACAGAACATTGCCTGCCGCACCACTCCCGAACCCGCGCAACGGCTAACGAACAACAAACCGAAACGATGCGACACGATTCCATACTTCCGAACAATTCGCCCATTAATTCTGCCGCTGTTACTGCACACTTCATGGAATATAAAAACCAGCAACAGTCCGCAATTCATCCTGAGTTGCTCACTCGTCGTCAGCCTGTTGCTTTAGTCGCTGCAAACAGCGGCATTTCGCCAGAATCAGTTTCGAACGCAACGGAAAAAAAGTAACGTAAATACTCAACGTGCCGTGTAATCCTGTAAGTGTATGAACAGTTTGGTGGTAAATTCGGCAGGCAGAAGTATTCTTTAATCCTCAAAAACTGAGCGTTTCAAATTTAATTTGATTGGGAACGTGTCCCGTTAGCTTCAATTAGCCGCGCGCGTGTGTGAATTTCTAGCCACGTTCAACGCATATCAGTGAGCTGTGCGATTTATTAAATTTCAAAAAAAAAAAAATAATAACATATAAGTTATTGGTTAGCATCGCTGTGAAATTTGTAATTGCAACACGCCATTTCGCTTGTCTACAACAAATTACTTGAATTAATATTCTAACTGTGCTTAACGAAATAACGTTTGTGTTGACAAGTGGAATTCACTTAGTAACTACTGCTTGCTTACAATCGCTACATTTCTTGAAAAAATAGTTTACTTTTTGGATTAACAGCAGCAGCAACGAAACACGGTAGGTATACTTTAAAGCGTCGGACATAATTGCTTATTCTTAAAGACTTTGCGAGTTCTTGAAGCCTTTTGACTGAATTGATAAATTATTAGTCTCTCCATGTAAAGGTATGTGAATGTTATTGCAAGCATTTGCGACCATAGTTTATGTATGTATTTGCTGATTTGCCTAAATTATTTCATAAGTAATAATGTTAAAAGGTCACACAGCGTTAAATATTTGACAAAGTACATAATGAATTGAATCTCATTTAATGAACGATTAATAAGGAAACCCAATTTAACGCTTCGTTTCGTTCTTGGATACTCGACGACTTTCGAAACGTCGTGCATAGGCACACAAGTCCTTTTACGTTCTATGTAAATGCTTTTATTAAATTAAAAATCTAAAATTTGACTAACAAACACACTGACTGACACAGACTCATGAAGCACACACACTGGCGCTTATAATTACAACTGTCTGCTTTTGCTTTTGCCTTACGCTCTCACAGATATTATGGATAGTAATCCATGTATAATACGAGTATATATTATGTGAAAGCGACTACATGGTCCACCAAAATTTCAATATATATTTATTTTTTCGTTAAGAAAAACTACTTTCCAGTTGATGGAATGTAGTTGGAGGAGTAGTACCAATTCAAAACTAGACAGAACCAGGAAAAAATATTCATTCTTTCATTAAAGCATGAGGTCAACTCATTTACACCTTTGGTTTTTAGCTTATCACCAAAATTAAATAATTTATTTTGAAAATCTTTAAAACGAAACTTAGTCAGTTGCATTTTAGTTGCCGAATTCTTGATAAACTCTAATTTGTGATTCAGTCAATTCACACAGTTTGTTGCTTGCCGTGTGATAGACCGTTAAAAGTACAAATGCCCTATGGAAGTAATGGAATACCTCTGCCTTTATCCTACTTTCAAAATAATGTCAAGCGTGGAGTAAAAATTGATATAGAGATCACTCCATTATAATTTTTTCTACAACATGACTAAAAGCTCTTGGAAAACTTTACCGTTACACGCGGTATTATATTTCAAACAGCGGCATTTTACAGCAAAATTGAAAGCAAACATTTTGCCAAAGGTTTAGATTGCATCGTTACGATGTTCGCGGGGCTTTAATACACTCGGTTGGTGTGAGAGCTAATGTTATCTATAAGTTAAAGTATTTATACATTACGCTTTACTTTGAACCAAATACATCAATCCTTGAAACAAAGTATTATATTATTTCAATATTACAACAACAATATTAAATTTATTACTACTTTGCTATTAAGCAATTGAATCCTTAGAAATAAAAGAAGTATTGCCTTCTTGATATTGGTAATACCATCTCATAATTTCTTAGGCTTAGTAAAGGAGAAGTGACTAAGCAAACAAGATTGGCTTCACGATAAGTCTTGCCATTTATAGTAATGATACGGTTGACGAATGCAGAGAAAATGTCTATTGGCTGCTTTTCAAATACTATAAATAATTTCTTAAATTAAATCATTTTCGGAATCCATTAATGTCAAGTGATAAGTGCAGCACTTAAGTGCTGCATAACGATGATATCGGTGAAAGCGTAGCTGTTACATGCAAACTTCGAAAATGATACTTGTATGTGAATTTGTAAGGCAAATTGCGAGATGATGCCTACTAGACACTGTTATGTCTGGTGAAATGTATATATAACTATATATATACTTATATTAATTACATACACACATATATACAACAAATGAATGAGAAGTATTTGAAAGACAGGCGGAAGTGCGCCAACCAAGTTGAGACAGCGCTGTTCCATTTGCTCCTGCCGCACTACGCAATTCAATGACTAACAAGAATTGGCTACATTAAATTAAAAAATACATAGAGCATAAATGTAGCGAGAGGAAAATAAAAAATCAAGGAATTTATTTGTACCACTAGAAAATAACTGCAAGTTCTTTTCTGTGCAATGTGTTTTTTGTCATACAATAAGTAATTTGCTGCATATTTTTGTATCTAGAGTACATAAAATAAAAAGGTTGGGAATAGGGAAAATTGCGTAGGAACTACTCAATAAAAATTATTGAAATTAAAATTTGCGACATGATGCCCAACTATACACTATTATGTCTGGAGAAATGTGTAGATAACTACTTTGTATACGTATGTACGTTTGTACCTTTATTAATTACATACATTCATATATAAAAATATTTTATGTAAATATTTTAAATTTACCCACGACATTTGTTGAAAAAAGTGTATATTACAAGTAAACAACATAGTTTTTTTTTCCATTTCCCTCTTTTCTAATTTTTATCTTCGTGAACCTTCTCCAAATCCCTATGAGCACAATTAATTGTTAACCACATGTACTAGCCATCTATGCTTATGCAAAAATAACATCTTTTATCTAAACGAATATACTCTAATTGAAACATAAATTAATTTTTAATGAAAACAAAACTCATTTGTAGATTCAGCACAATTTGTATGGCGGTTACTCCTAGATAAAAGAACAAATATTGCCTTAAATGCTAAAAAATCAATATCCTAAGAATAGTAAATAAGCTTACAAATCTATTAATAGGAATTAATCAGCATCAATGCGTTACGTTCGTCGTTTCGTTTCTTGTCTGTGCCCAAATATTAAATCTGCCACAAATATGGATATAAACGCTCACTCACCCAAAAACTTGGATTTGCATTTATAAAAAATCGCATGCTTTTTAATGTAAGCCGTCGATGATCTATCCGGCTTTCTTGCCTTCAAGTGGGAAGGTTTCCCATGGGGAAAAACATTTACTTTTGTAATCGTTTGTTAAAGACAATCAGATGTGATTTTAGCTTCCGCCGAGATCAGATTTTATCTCTATGCCTGTGTATATGTGTGATGA